ATTTACTTGTCTTCTTAGCATACCTACTGGGTAAGACTAGTTTCTTGTTCAATTCCCCAAAATAAATATAAGCTTTCAACTGAAAGCATTTATTTCCCTAGTTTTCCAAAGCAGAGCCTGGAGGGTGGGAGGGGAAATGCTGCAGACTCGCCATCAGTCCACTTAGTCCATGAAAGCATCTCCTGTCTCAGTATTCGTTCAAATCCAAGAGATACCTTCTTCCAGTGAAATATGACGGGAGCACTTATTGTATTTGCAGCAGTTCAGTCTGTTTCCATGGCAGCACTGCGGGATTCCTTCGCCACCATGAGTCGCATGAGCTGACTGTGGAATTTCTCAATCTTCTTTACGTCTTGTGCCTGGTCTGTTCTATACAGCAAACACTGTAAGAAAAAGTTGATTCACATCAGATTTCACTCAAACTGGTTTTATCCTGTTTATAGCTGCAAGATATTTATGCTTGGAACACATAAAACAAGTACTTAAATGTTCATTTGCGGCATGTTATTACCAATCAGCAGCAGCAACAACATCTAGTCTACCCTGTTTTAAAACACATCTGTGTTGACACAAGTTTCTTTGAAAGGCTCACACCTTCCATTTTGAAAATAGGGAAGCTCATGATTTATCCTGTTTTTTATTCTCCCAGAGAAGGTGCTAAAACTTAGGGTTAAAGCTGTCTTTAAAGACACTCCTGTTTGTGATCTCTAAAAAAACAAAACCAGATTTTAAATCTGTAATTCCTTTCCTATTTCACTGTATTCTGGAAGTAAGTTTATCTTGCCTTTCACAGCCCTTGGTGTTACACTGCCAGTGACACAAAATCAGTATTTCTCACTGCTGGGGATCCCTTCCCTTAGGCAAAATGTAAGACAGGCCTAAATAAGGAACACTGCATCTGATTAAGATAAAAAGGAACTCTTTGATATGACAAGTCTGTGAATGCAAAAGGGACAAGCAATAGTGACTTACAATAAAACTGCTTAGGGTTTTTTTTGCTGACTAAGTAATTCCTTATATTTGTACAGCCTCAGTATGACTGCCCAGGCTGATCTAACAGTGAAAAAACTCATAATACTCCATTCCTCAGTGCTGTGAACACAGTGACTTTCCCAGTATTACATTCCTATTTTAAGTTAGAGACAGTTTCTTTTTTCCTTCAACCGTATGAGTTCTACAGATTGAGCAAAGAAAACTTCCCTTCTTGCCTTTAGAAAAAAGGCAGCCCCCCCCCAAAATCCCAAACTAAACCAATTCCCTGCCATCTCCCAGTGGAGAGTCTTTCCCTGACTGGAAGCAGGGAAGAAAGCCTGTAACTGAAAAGAGTTCACAGTCATGAACCAGCCTACTCCAACTTCCCGTATGGAAGATTTCAACTAAACTGCCCCCATTCCCCCTGTTATCAGTGCCCTGAACTCAACATCTCACCCATGTCAAGCCCTATCACCCTATCAAGAAGTGGAGTTCCACATCTCTCACAGCTATTGGAATATCATGCCAGGCTACTTTTCCTAGAAAGAAGAAATTTGACTTTTTCCACGTCTAAAGATCAGAGAAGGGCAGACTACTGTTGCTTACCCTGAACTGCAGAAAAACAACTTGGCTACATCACTAGCAGCAAGAACCTGGCACTGTCATGTACATTAGCACACATACACCAATGCCCACCACCCTAACCCCACCCACCCCAATGTTTCTAAGTGCCCTTCCAGGCTATTTAGAACAAAAGCAACCAGTAAGCACAGCTGCTCCACCTCCTTGAACAGCCCTGGGAAGAACAGTGCAGAATTCCATATTGCATGTATGTTCCAGTATTCACTGAATGAGTACCGAACACCATGGCAGCATTTCAGAAAATGGGATCTCTGAACTGCAATGGAATCTTGTCTTTCAGTCTCATCACCACTCCACTGTCTCAAAATCACCAAAAAGGAGCTTAACCTATGGCTGGAAGTTGTCACCACTCTGAGCAAATGAAAAGGGCCACACTCACACTACTAGACGCCTGTGTTTGAAGATGCTCCTGAAAAGCTTCAGCAGAAGTCACCAATGTCACTCCATGAAGCATTTTCAGATAGAGAGAGCTTGCAAGATTTTTGTAGTGCTTGTTTTCCTAAAATCCTGAATTATGCTGGCACCTGTGAAGGACACTGAAGTGTTACTTTTCCTGGACTGTGCAGAGTTGAACCACAGGTCAGTGTCAGTCACAGACACAGCAACTAAGGAAGGCTGAGCACAAGTTTAGAGAACAGTCAGGCACTCTGAAGGCAACAGCCAAGAGGTCTCAAGTTGACTGACAGCAAAATGCAAGTCTGTGAGAGGCACAATAAGCCCTGAAAGAGGAATATATTCTGTACTTACAGCTACATCATCCGTGACTTTGATACAGAGGTTCCCATCACAGTGGCGATATTTGAGAACAACCCGCACCTGAAATGACAAATTGTAAGAATTAAGGTCCACAGTTAACAATTCTAAGAGCATACCTGAAGGTAATCTGCCCATTCAGACTATCTTTTATTATAAATATGTACTGCTTCATATTTTCATCTCCATGGTGACCACTAATCCCACAGCCAGGACGATGTGGGAGTTGAACCATCACATCTCCCTGCCTAACATATTAAACCAGTATTACAGCAGCATCAGAAACTTCACATCAGACATGTTCAAAACCATGGTAAATACAACAAGGAGAACTGCAGAGACCTCAGTGACAGGCAGGATGAACCACAGGAGGTGTGGCAACACAAGACACTTCAGAAGAAGTAACTGGAAGCTTGTGTTTATAACCTTATAAACACACACACAAAAAAGTCTAAATCTAAAATCAAGTCTAAATGAAGACTTGAAAGGGATTAACTCAGTGAGGTAAGCTTAACAGTAGTACTTTTTCTTCTATGATACCTAACCTGATATGTAAACCAGTCATACTTCCAGTCACCACAGTTATTTCAATAGCTGCACCACTGCCTACAGACAGATTTGAAGTGTTCTGATGTTTTTGCAAGTGGAAAGGGAAGATACAAAGAGGAACACTTTCTAAGTAATTAAAATCAGAAGACTGAAGAACTTCTTTCCAATTAACTGCTTTCAAGATTCAACTCTTCACTGAGAGTTCCTACTGTTCCAAAAGAAAGAGGCTGCCACAAGCAGACATGGACTTGATAGATAGCTTGTTCCCACAAAAGACAGGACCATTCACTACTCAGCTCACTGGCCCACGGAGAACATGCACTCTCTCCCACGATTCTTGTTCTTCCCTCAGCTCCTTGACAAGCCAAGTTACACACAAAAGCTCCTCAGGCTTGCTCTCCGTACTCGTAACTCTGAAGCCTACATAAACTCCTTCGTACAAGACAAGTTTATTGTCATGGATGGGGAGGGATTGCCTTTGGAGGCCCCTGCAGAAAAGAGGAAGAGGAACTCCTGTCTGCAGCAACATCCCTTGTCTTTCATTTCGTTGACTATTACAGAGCATAAGAAGGTAAAACAAGACAGTTTTACTGTCAGTAGATAGTGGCAACTGCATATGAAGTCATCACCTACACTAGTTAAAGACAGATCATAGAATCACAGAACACCAGGTTGGAAGAGATCTCAGAGATCATCTAGTCCAATCTTTCCAGGCAAAGCATGACCCAGACTAGATGTCCCAGCACCCTGTTCAGACGAATCTTAAAACATGCCCAGCATTGGGGAAACCACTGCTACAAACTACTTCTGAAGGTGTCTCCATGTTCTCTATTTTTGGTGAAGAAAACTAGGTCTTTTTTTCCCTAATGTTTTCTCAAGCATGAGTTCCTCACTGCCTTTTGTGCTGCTCTTTGGCTAAATTATAGCACTTTTTCTGAATACTTAAAGTTACTGTTAACAGTTGCACAAACTACATTCCTGAAAAAGTTACCAAAACCAAAATGCAGTCATACAGCAAGAATATTCTTAGAGCAATTACTCTTTAGAAAGCAAGCACCTTCCCGTCTGCAAAGCCACTGCAGGCATCACCACGTAAGACCTAACAAATGCTTTAACTTTTTAGAAAGACGAATTCAAATGATGCAGTCTTAAAGGTTCTCATCTCATAAACCAAACCCACTCCCGACACACCTTTCATTCCGCAAAACTCGTAATCCCAGTTCTAACTCAGAGGCACACTGTAAATGAGCACGTCTCTGAGGTGCCGTTCTCGAGGCCCGCACCTCACTAACACCACTTATTGCGCCGTACTCTACGCGCGATCTGGGGGTCTTACATGAGGCTGCTGCCTCCCACCTGCCCGGTGCAGGCCACAGCCACCCTGGGCACACCTGCAGGTCCCGCCACACGCCGCACACGGGTCCGCGGCCCGCCGGGGACACGCATCCTGCCTGGAAAGCCGCCCCACAACCGGTTCCACGGCCGGCGTGGGCTCAGCGCCCGCCTGCCTCCCTGGGCAGCCACAGGACACGAACCGAGACCGCCGCAGCCACCGCCTCACCACACAGCCGCTGCGCCCCGGGCCTACCGCGAGCGGCGAAGGCCCACCTCGGCCGCTCATCCCTCCCGTCCCTCCCGCGAGGCCTGTCGGTGCGGCGCCCCCCACCTTCATGGGGTCGGCGAGGTAGAGCTTCTCGGCAGCACGCGTGAACTCCTCCCAGGCCTGGTAGTGCGGCATGGCGGGGCCGGCACGATGCGGTGCTCCGCTACCCCCGCGGCGGCAAGATGGCGCCGAAAGCGGCGGGCGCTGCGCCGCTGCAAGCCGGCGGCTCCCATTGGTCGGCGAGAAATTGTGGCCCAATCGCGAAGCGCGTGACTCAGAGATGGCGGGGCCGGGGGTGGAGTGCGGCCGAGGGGCGCCGAGAGGGAACGCGGTTGCCACAGCGACCCCGCGAGGCGCGGCGGGATGCCGGAGAGAGTTAAGGGTTCGATGCCCGCCGCCACGGGCGGAGGAGTAGGTGGCTCGGAGGTGGGAGGCTCTGTGAGGTGGATCTTGTGGGGCTCCACAGGTCGGGTGCGGGAAGCCTCTGTGGCTGCCCCTCAGAGGGGCTGGAGGCTCGGGTGGACCAGCGTCGTGGCCTGGCTTGGTGAGGAGGGCCCGGCGAGAGGTGAGGGCAGTGCCCCGGGCCAGCCCAGGCAGGCGGGCTCCGAGCGTGAGGTTATCTCGGCTGGCTTCTACAGCTGGATGTGGTCCTGCTTTTCCCAGCTGGAAGGTCCTTTGTGAGGCTGGAGGCTGTGTCCATGTTGAACAGAAAGGGTATTTGAGAGCAGCTCTCCGGCTTGCCTAGGCCGCTGCAGCCTTTCAGAGGAGTGCTGAGGTGGTGCTTGGGAGTGAAGCTGCTGGTTTCAGAAAGATCCGAAGTTGTGATATTGTAAAGATCTTGGAGAGCACTCCTTTTCAAATGTGTGTGTGTGTGCAACATATTTACGTAAAACTGACTGAAATTCACTTCAAAAGAGAAATGAGGGGTAAAATCCCCAATTTCTCCTGTTAGGTTATAAAATCCTGTTTCCTGAAGTGACCTGTGCTTTCTGTTCCTTCATTGCACGATGGTTGTAGCCAGCCACAGTGCTGAGCTCTGACCACGTTACACGGCTTGTGTAACCCCTGCAATTACAATTGCAATTGCAACCCTCATTTCATAGGGACACACTGGAAACCCAGCAGCTCCTGACAGTGACTCACAACTTCGAGTTAGCTTTACTGAACTGGGCAATCCTCAGCGGTGTGGCCAAACAAGTGAACAGGAAAGTTTAGGGCAGGTCTGTGTGTAAGCCTCCAGTAGCAACATGGGGAAATAGTAGCTGTAGGGTTTTTGACCACAAAAGACACAATAGGTGCAAGGGAGAATGAAGAAACGTGGCATAGAAATGAAAGGGCTGATGGGAGGTAAAGGGAGAAAAACTAGAATGAGTTTCCCTGAGTCAGTAAAGCAGAAAATAATTGTTACTGTGGGGATCCACTTTAGTCTGCAGTAACCAGACTGCCAAACTTTAATACATTGTGACTTGTGGGTGTTACAAACGTGGTCTAAACAGTTCTGGTAAAGGGTGTTGCACCAATGAGTGGAGGCTATGAACAGTGGAAAGGCTTAAAAGTTTCTTGCTTTTTAATTTCCAGAACTGCTCACAGAGTTTAGATGCTGCTGAGTGTGAGAACCAAGCTTCAGAAACGTAAGAGATGTCTTTCAGATTCTGATTAAAGGTGACTGATGTATTGAAAGAGCCTAAAACAATTATTCACAGAACCTAACAGGGAGGGACTGCTTCTCCACTATCTTAATGTTTCAGGTAGCCATTTGTAACAGCAGAGCAAGAATTGCTTTTGGCAGTGTTTTACAGACACATGGGGGATGTAAATACATGAAAATGAAAGTGTGGGGAGCACAACATTTCATAGGACCATTACTCATCAAATTTGGATCTGGGTTTTCAAGTTGGACGCAGACATTTTCTGCCTCCAGTTTGGGGCTGTCCACTCAGAAGCACCTTAGGGTTGATTGATTTTTATAGGATTTTGATTTTTTACTCAAATGTTCAGGATCTTTTATGGTTCTTTTGACACAAGAGCTATTTTAGGAGCTTGCAAATGGTCAGTCATTAGCCCTGTAATTCACAATTTCTGCAGCTGAGCTAATGCAACAGGGCAAGATTAGAAAACAAACCCTTTTTGATATTTCTTCTTCCTTAACCCAGATGGTTTCTGTGATCCAGTTTAAGATATGCACAACTTGGGAGGTGACAAACTGCAGCAGCCAGGACAAAGAGCACAGAGAGGGATTTCATAATTGGCTTTACCTCTGAAGAAAATGTGATGTGTCACTGCGACATTTATGTACAGCCTGATACACAGTTCTGCACAGCCTGTTCCTGGCTGCAGATCTTAAGGATTTCGTCTTCCCTGCCACCACCGCCACCTATGGCCCCACGGTTGTGCTGCCACAGCTGTTTGTAACTCTGCACTGGGATCAAACCAGTGCTTGCATTAAAAGCAGCACCGGTTTTAGTAACACTTTTTTTAACCCAGATGGGTTTGTTTTTCCAGTTTACTGTGTGGCCCTATGTACTGGTGTGCTGACACAGCTGTTGGAAACATACCTTTTTTTGGTGGCAAGGCAGGATATGGGGATTCCTACTGTTTTTGCTGGCTTGCCACCAAAAATGGGGTCTGTGTGTGAAACTGTCCCCCTCTTCCAGCTCTCCCGAAAACAAGGCCAGTTGCTGAAATCTTGGCAATTAAAAGGAGAAGCTATTTCTGAGCCTCAGGGAATGTCTGATACCTATAGTTAGTGCGCTGCTTCACTGTGTTGTTCTCCTCTTGCCTGGAGAACAGAACGTTTTCTTGACATGTTTGAAAAGTAACTTAGGCCACTGCAGTTATTCAGCTGAAAGTTGTATTTGATGTATGTCCAAAACTGTATTTTCCAAGAGAGTTCCAGTGAATGCAGTAATAGTAGAAATCTTTCAATGGGCTTTTTGTTTGGTGAAATAAAATGAACAGTTGTTTATCACTCTGTGGAGTGTTTGGTATGCAGCCAATAATAATTTAGTAGTTAGGAAGAATTCTGCTAAAACATACATACTTATCTTGCTTTCTTTTCTTGAGTTCCTGCTTTCTTCATGCAAGAAATCATTCCAGTGATCTTAACAGCCATTCCATCACTTGTAAGTGAAATCTGGAATGCTGCAAAACCTCAGCTACCCTTTCCTCAGCCTCCCCTTGTATATCCTTGCTGCATCACCCAGACCACCTTAGATAATGTCTTTTTTAGCTTGGATTTAAGGCCATAAAAAGCTATGAAGCAATCATGTAGCTACTGTGCAATGAAGATTTTTCATGCGGTTTTTCCTCAGGCCTTTTCCCCTCATCCAACCTGTGTGTGCATGATTAGTGATCTCTCTTTGATCAAGCTTCTACATGCATTGCCACTGCAAGTTCTGCTTTGTATAGTTACGTTCAGGCATCTGGATTCCACACGGAAATTTCTTTAGTATTTTATCTAGTGTCTTCCTTTGCATAAATGACAAACTGGAAGAAAAGAGCAGAAAAAGACCTTGCATTATGTACTAAAATACCATGCACAGAGGTCTTGAGTTCTTGCAACTCATATAAAGTTCATGGAAGTTGCAGCTGCTCAGCATCACTCCGGGTGAGATATTTGGTTTCCTGTTCTTCACATTCATGCTTTTATTCAGGCTAAAGCAGGTGCCATATTCTTATTTGCAAATGTAGTTTTCTTTCCTGCATAAGGAATTCAGATAAAAGAGTATTAAATTCATTAAAGTAGTTGTCTGCCACTGTGGCATACTACTGGTGGGTGAAATAAGCTGGTCCTGCCAGCTAAAAGAAGTTTGTATAGAGCACTATGCCTTATAATGCTAAATTATGGATTTGATGGGAAACAATAGGACAAACTCTGATCTTGGTTATGCTGCTGTAAATCCAGAGCCATTCCGTTTATTTCAGTAGATTTTTTTCTATATCTGCAGCAGTTTAATTAAGAGCAGACTTTGGTGCTGAGATGATAATCCTTTTCTTGGACCAGGAGCAGCATAAAGTCAGTGCAGTTATACAGGTCTAAAGGAGTGCTAATGAGGAATTAGTTATAAAGCAAGGATTTCTGCCAGGAATGCTTAATGCTTAAAGAAGGAGATACAGTAATTTCTTTCAAACTAGCTTCAACCCAGCCCTCAGTAAAGTTGAGGAGAAGGCATGGGCATGGTGATTATACATTCCATTCTGGTGTGTATATGGTCTAAAACAGCTTGGGATTTGTACTGATGCAAACTTCAATCACAAGGGGTTATTTTTTCCTTTGAAAGGGTATTTTTGTGCATAAAGATGCAGATAGCTCTTTAGTACAGCAAGATCTGAGGTCTTTGACATCTCACTGGCTTCTGAATCTCAGTAGCCATGAGAACCGAGGCTGCAGTCAGAAGCAGCTTGTGCTCCTGGATGGGTTATAACATGCCAAACTGAGCCACAGGTTTTCACTCCACAGCTCCTAAAGGAACAAAACATAGGGCTCCTTTCTATGGGTTTCATGTATTAAACAGCTTGGCTAATGGTTTGGCCAGGTTAAGCCATACATAGTTAATTACATCAATGCTGATTTTCTATTTCTCTTGCTCACAAGCATCTTATCAAGTGATTCAGGCTTATACTGTCATAACAGGATAATGAAGTATTGGTGTCACTTGGTTGTTAAAATGTTTGTGATAGTAAAGGCTGTATTTGGACAGCACAATTCTGGGGCCCTGTCCTGGTCAGTGACTGTCCTGATCAAATCACAGCTTCAAGTCAGGATGAGACCTGGGTGCCTGGTACTATCCTCATTCCTTTTCCCCAGTGCTCTTGCTCCTGTGAAAGGAAACACGCTGCAAACACATCCCTGGGGAGCCTGCAGCCTTGGGCACACCATGATCCACACTTGCCATACATTTTAGCCATAACCTTCCAAAAGGCAGCATTGTTTCCTAGTTTGCTTTAACCATTAGGAAAAAAATTCTTGTAGTTTAATATGGTCTAATCGAATCTTCCTGTATGTTAGGGAGTTTACATATGTGCATGTAAGTAGCCATTACACCTGCAAGAGAGCTGTCCCTGCGTATTTCCCTGTTGCCAGCATGGTGTTAATAGAAACTGCCCTTTCATTTTTGGATGCTGCTCTGACAGCGTTCTAGTTAAGCTATTTGCTTTTGATAGCTAGAAAGATGTGTCCCTTCCTGTTAAGTGGTCAGTTTAGTCCCTTCAGCATAATAACATATTCAAATGAATGTGCTGTCATGCAAGAGACATATGTTAGAGAGCAGACTCTATTCTGTCATGTCATTGACTGTTGAGATTTGAGAATGAAATAGCAGTCCTCATGATGGCCTTCAGGGAAAAGGAGAACACATCTGGTAGCCAGCTCATGAACTGGCGTTTGAAGCACTCTAAAAGGAGACAGACACTGTTAGCATTAACTGCTCATAGATTTTCTATCACTGTCACGTGAAGTTTCTGAGCATGCTTAAGATGGAGTTTGATCATCTGCTGGCACACACTGAAAGCACATTGATTTCTTACATGAATCTTTAAATAGAAAAGCTTTTTATTTGATAGGCATGACTTAAGGGTGGTTTACCTGTGATACTCATGCTGCCATGGCTGACGTAATTGAAGAGTACAAATCACCACAACAGGCAAGTGAGATTAGATGCTTCCGGTGATACCTTCCCCATAACTACATCTGAGCAGAAGGGCTTTAAGTACCTTTAACTAAGTTAACTTCTAATTCTAAACCACATGTTTCAGCCCAGATCAGATGGAAATTACCTCCCTGTCAGATCAGCCTGCAGAGAGGAAGATGTGAGCAGTTCCCAGTCTGCTGAAATGCTAAAGCTTGAACCTTCCTTGTGGGTGAACCCTGCTGACTTCTTGATGAAGTAAAAGAGTAGCACACTTCCTCTTCCCCCTGTGCTGTTGTGAGAGCAGCAATGTGCAGCTGGTGGGAAACAGTGACTGCTGCTGTTTGCTAAGTAAATCCATGCTGGCCCTGAAGTTGCATGGCCTCATTCAAATGGACTCTTGATTTAGCAGTCCCAGCCACTTGTCATTGCCTTTTCCCAGGAATTAATGCCCTCTCATGATGTGTTTGCAGAGGTGCTTGTGTGAGTGTCCCTTAACCCACTTCAATCAAACTGAGTTAACAGAAACCTCCTATTTAATCCATTTAAGCTAACTCTGGCTCAGGTTGACCAAAACAGGTGAGTCCACATGAGCCACACTGCAGGCAGAGCTGAAGAGGTGGTCATTTCCACAAGAAGCAGGACGAGCTGAGCAAGGGGAGTGGATCTGAATCAGCAACTTGTCCCATGCCCTCAGAAGAGGATGCCAGAGCTGCTGGCTCCTCAAGCTCTTCTGTTTGAGCCTTTGCCCTTGGTCAAGAGTTGGTGAGGTAAAGGTCTAAATTATGGTCAGATTAGTGTCTATGAGGATTCTTACCATTTGCATTGCCAGTTTTGGAAACAACTTGCAAGCACACATGTTCCTCTGATGTCTACAGTATGATGTTATAGTGTTATGTATGATGTTACAGTATGACATGTTCTTTCTCTAGATGTCTGGTGCAGAGCTTGTGTAGATGTTTGATTTGCAGGCCCACAGAAAGCATACGTAAGAGCTGGGACCTGTGCTGGGAAGGGATTCCTCCCTTCCAACATGCTGCTGCTGTTGCAGTCCTTGTCATGGAGCTTGCAAGTATTTACCTGACCCTTCAGTTGGCTTGAGTCTGCAGAGGAATTTTAACCTCAAATCTGTAAGTTTAGTGTTTACATGAGATTTGAAGTAAATTAAAAACTTGAAAGGTTGGCATGTAGGAGTGGGGACAGGGAGAACATCTTTATAAATGACATGCCAGGGCTGCGACTTTATGTTGAAAGGATAACTACTAGCAAGATTTGAAATGTGTCCTAACAGTTGCATTCTTCCTGAGGTGTTTTTCTCTCTCCATAAGCAACTCTTACTGATCTCGTTATATTTTTTATTGTGTGTATGAAGTAAGTCAAAGGTTGAAGTGATCTTGCTGCTTCAGGAATAAATAGCAAAGTTCCCCCTTCTTTAAGATGAGGCAGAAGTTTAGAGGTCACACAGATACCAGAAACAGATACACAAGGGACGTGAATGAAGGAGGAAATACCACTCTCATCATTATAGGCTTTGGAGAAAGATGAGGGGCCTTCAGGTAATTCCCAGTCCGATGTTGACCCTCCTTCCTCCTCTCCCTGCCTGTTACCTGCTGGGGGCTGGGAGGAAGAGGAACTGGGAATGGTAGCTTGGTAGCTGCATGTTTTCTAAGGAATCTCTGTACCAGATCTCTCTGTATAAGGATTTAGCCCATCTGTGTGCCCCTTATGCAGCACAAAGAGATGAGACAGGGCAGTGTGTCTGCATATGCATATTTCAAATATTTTTTTTCCTTAGGGTTGTTTTCACTTGTATTTTGAACAGGGTAAATGTGGCTGCCCTGCAGCTACCTCCTTTTCTGTAGAGTTTACTCTTATTGATTTAAAAACAAGAATCATAAGAAAGATTTGCCAGTGTAGCATTTGCTATGCAACATTTAGATGCAGCTGCTTTGAACTGAATTCCCAGCAGAAGTGAAAGGATTTTGAGGCTTCCAGATCCTAGCAGACTACTGTTTTTTGCAGACAGAAATCTGTATGATATGTACTTCTCCAGAGATCCTTCCCAGCCAGCTAGGACTGTACTATCCTTCTCCTACCCCACTGAGACCTATTATCAGCTTTTGGGAGGGGATCCTTCTGGACCTAGGAAGTTAATTAGCTTTGCTTGCAAATGTCTGCCACTGAAGTGACTGATTACATTTTGGAGGGAAGTAAAGCTCTTGTCTCTGGAGTTGAAAACAGCAAACCCATGCAAGTTTGTGTCAGTCTTGACTCTTATTTCTCCTTTTGACTCTTATTTCTCTTCTGTGGGGCAACACTCTTCTCTGTATGTGGGGAAAAT